AGGCGGTGGCGACTCGGTTCTGGCGGGGCGGGCCCCAGCCCGGCGCCTTTAGTGGCGCCGGGAGCCTAGGATCCCCGTGAAGCTAGGGGTGGCCTCTCCGGTCCCAACAGGTCAAAGGGAAAGGGTCCCTAAGCGACCACCAGGAAATCTAGGAGCTATGCTTGGCTCTTGGGGCCTAATTGGGGCTCGGGTCTCGGGCCCTCAGAGGAGGCGGGGCGCGTCCCGCCAGCGCCGTCGGAACCGGGAGTTGGGGGGGGTGAGGAGGTGTTCGGGGTCCCCGGCTCCATTACCACGAAGGGTCTCGCGGTCCCCGGCTTCAGCCAATGGGGAGTCAGCTGCGGGAAAGGGTCCCCGGCCGTAGCCAATGGAGGGGGGCGCGCGGCCCACAGTTTGGCCAATGGGGAGGGAGGGACTTGGGAGCGGGTTGCTACCTCCCCCTTGCCGGTCTGGCCAGTAGGAGGGGAGCGGGGTGGGAGGGGGCACGGAAGGAGCGACTACTGGGAGGACTGCGGGCCGGGAACCTCCAGCGCGCGCGCGCCCTTCCCGTACGTGCGCGCGGATGCTCTGTCTTATGACCCGGGCATTCGCGTGTCCTGGTAACTCTTAGGGCAGGGGCTGGGAATGTGCATGGAGGGATTCGTCTGGTGTTGGGTCGATCAGTAGTGGACGCACCACTCAGTTTCTTCTCTGTGTGTGCTAATGCGATTGAGAGTCGCGGTGCACGCAGGCGCAGTGGGTTCTGATCTCGGGAGGGGGGATTTTGAAGAGGCCCGTGGGCTTTAGTGCGCAGGCGCAGACCGGGCGAGGCCTCCCGGTGGATGGCTTTTGCGGCTGCGCTGTCCCCCAGCCCCGCCAACGGCCCCCTCATCGCTCTCCTCAACTGCCGGTTACATCAGCCATCGAGGAGCAGTGTTACCTGTCGATTGGTGACCCCTGCAGTGTGGGTAACAGGCTGAATGAATAATGAGGGTGATGGGGTGGGGTATGGAGGGAACACCCCTCCTCCCAGGGTTTGGGGCATAAGGCTACTGAAAATGATTTTTTTTT